GTTTTACGCTATTTTCTAGTGTTCCGCATTGAAGGGGCGTTTTCTATGGAAATAAAACCGGGCCTCAGTTTAATAACGTTTACCTCAAACCCTATCTCCAAGAGATGCATTTAAACCCGAAGCACCAGAGTCCAAATCGGGAATTGTTCTTCAACTCAAGTTTTTTTGCTCAAATTGGCCCCCAGTACGCACGATTGTAAATTGTAGCCCTAACCCATTCTCAAAATTTATGGTTACAAGCTGTAAGAACTAAATCAGAGCTTAAATAAGAGAAACACGATTATAGAGGGGGCTTCGCCCCAAATATTGAGTAACCAAATATCCAGAGCCTCCCGGGCGCAGCACGGCATTAGTTGCATTGATATCATATATAGGAGTATATCGGTTTTATCAGGTATTGGTTAGGATAGTTTAATCTGTACCAGTTTTGGTTGGTAAATGGTGGTGAAATGGTGTGGATTACATCAGTTGTCCAAAATGGGTCTACCCACAATTCGCAACTCCGTGGTAGGGGGATATCGCCGAGAGTGTCCAGCCAAAAGAGGCTTCAAGCCAGCGACCGACACTCAAGCCGCTGCGGAGAGGTCTCTGGCGCGCTCCCTATCTCTTCTCGTTTTTCTTCCATTGCCCCATGCAGACCACGACGACCAGACCGGGCGGCCAGGCGGCTGCCCGCAAGAACAGTAGCACTGGCAACGGTTCCAAGGGCAAGAAGAAGAAACCGCAGCAGCCTAAGAGCAATGGCAATGGCAAGGATGCTGAGCCTGCGCCCGCGGGTCCGCGGCCCGTGGTCCCACCGCCGGTGTCCGGACCTTGGGGCAACCCGAAACCCGCAGCAACTAGCGCACCCCCACCGGGCTTCGCTCCCAGCCCTCCCAAGTCTACCTCGGGCTTCAGCGGTGGGTACTCTCGAATAGTAGTACGGTTATTGACTGTTTTTCTTAATATTTTATATGTATATATTCTGCAGATGCGCATACGAGATTGCTGCGGCATCGTGCGCTGTTCGCGTTCCGCTACTTAGTGGGCAAAGCTGTGGAGCTGCAACTCGTGGCCTCTGACGAAAGATACGCCGGTGTCTTGGACTGCGTGGACCCGGACGATTTCTCGGTGGTATTGAAGAGCACAAAACGGCTGAGCAGTGGCCCCAACGCCAAGCCGTTCGAGGACGGCAGTACCGTCATCTTCAGACGCCACCAACTCGCACATTTAGTGGCGGACGGCTCGGTCAATTACACAGACGGCGTGTTCTCGTCAGGCGCTGCCGTTTCTGGTGGATTCCGCACAGACACAGAGATCAGTGGACAGAAGGGAGAGCATTTGTATGGACGAGAGCTGGAGGCGGCCAGTTCGTGGCTGGACCCGGCGTTGGACACCGGATCACTCGAGGACTCGGCGTCTAATGGCAGACGTAAAGGCTGGAACCAGTTCGAAGCGAACGAGAAGCTCTTCGGCGTCGTATCGACGTATGACGAGAATATTTATACGACCAAGCTGGACAAGTCCAAGATCTCCACAGAGCAGTCACGTGCGGCCGAGAAACTAGCACAGGAGATCGAGCGCCAGTCGGCTGCGGGGAATTTCCATCTGCTGGAGGAGCGTGGACAGACTGCACGTGGCGATAAACACGCTAACGACTTGGACGAAGAGGCCAGGTACAGCTCCGTGGATCGCAGAGGCGCTCCTGGTGGTAACGCGTATGTTCCTCCGGCTATGCGGAATGCGCAGCGTCAATCCAGCGGTGGCAAGTCACAGCCGAAGGCACCAACTCCAGCTCCTCCTTCAGAACCGACACCTGCTGCAGCTCCAGCGCCACCCGCTGCGCCTAAGCCTTTGTCTTTCAGTGAAGCGGTCACTGGCCGATCAGCTGCTGCACCTGCAGCACCGAAGGAGGCCTCCAAAAGCACTTCAGATGAGAAGAAAGTGGCTTCTGCTTCCCCGAAGAAAGAAGCAGCGCCTGCACAGGTGAATGGCAAGGATGCGAAGCCCGCTGCAGTGAAAAGCCCGAAGAAGAACACTGCGAGTGGAAAGGATCAGACGGAGACTAAGACTGAGAACAAATCTACGTCCAAGACGACGACACCTACTACGACTAAGAAGGAGGAGACGCCCAAGACAGCTCCGAAGAAGGGATTGAACCCGAATGCCAAGGAATTCAAGCTGAGCGCTTCCGCAGCCGAGTTCACTCCGAGCTTCTCGATGCCACCGGCAGTAAAAGAGCACGTGTCGTCGCCCTACCGTGGCGGCTCTCCTGGTCACGTGCCGTACCCGCATCCTGGAATGGGCTACCCTCCGCCGATGCAAGAAGAATGGATGTACGATAGTATGGCTGGAGAAGAAGGCGGCGAGATGGGAATGCCTCCTTACGGCTACGGTGTGCCGATGGGACCCAATGGAGTGCCCATGATGTATCCTCCTATGATGCCTCAGCAGAATATGCGCATGATGGGCGGCCAACGCGGAGGCTACGGCTACCAGCAGCACGGATACAACCCCCGGGGTTACTATTCGCCACCGAATGGTGGCTTCCCGCCGTACGCGGGTGTAGGTCCTCAGCCTCCTCTACCCCCCACGCCCAGCGGCGATGAGTCCCCTGGTGAAGCTCCTGCAGATAGCGCACCAGCTCCCCCCATGCCTAAGACGGCACCTGAAGTAGACGCCACTCCGAAACAGCAGTCATCGGCCCCCAAGAAAAAGTAGACGAGATGTTAGTAGGGCAGACGATCGCGAGAAAGCACGAATTCAAGGAAGAGGATGATGGAGAGACGAGTTCGAGGAGTTTTTGCGTATATATCTGGGAAGTACTGCTGATCTTTTGGGCCTTTGTGTCCGTCTCTGTGTGTTGTGTTCATAGACTGATAAGCAAGACCAGCGGGGGTTTCAAGTCGCAATTTGGACTAAATTTTAGTCTTCTTGAAGCGACGTTGCCAAGCTCCCGACATTATTGACGTGAAGGTGGCAGTGCATCATGCTGCCACCCATTTACAATTCTTCGAATGGGTTGTCGAATGATCGCCGTGGCAGTGGAGTCAACGGGGGCTTCTTGAATGACAACAGGAAGCAAACTGTTGCGGGGCTGTCCTCTCCTAGTCGTAGTGTGCCCAATGGTGTTTTGTCTGCAGCATCAGGGTTGGATCAAATGGCAGAGCGTGTGCATGCACTGGAACGCGAGAACGAACGCTTTCGGGAAGAATTACAGCATCTTCGACACATCTCCTCAAACAACCAGCAACAGCATGAAAACGACAAGGTACGATCGATCCTGTTGGCTTCGAGAGGTAGAAGGCTAACGCTAACGTTTGGTACTAGCTCTCAGTCGGAAAAGTTGCTGAAGATCTTCAACGGCTTGCCCATTCCTTCAACACTAAACTCCAAGCAGACACGACTCACCAACAACGCGAACAGCAGAAGACAGCGTTGTTATTCGCAGAGATCGCGCGTCTTGGGCACCGAGTGGAGGGGTTAGAAAGTGAATTAAGAGGCGTTGTCGATGATACTCAACGGAAGTTCGATGCTCAGGAGCAGCACGCACAGTTCATGGCGTCCGTTAGTTCGAAGCAGCAGCATCAAGCTCAATCACCGACCCGGACCGCAGAGCTTCAACGACAACTGAGGGACATACAGGATGCGATGGTACAGCTTCGTAGTGAACTGGATGCAGACCGCAGTGCAAGATGGAAGAACGATGCCGCTGTGGACGCCAAACTGGACGCTCAACTCGAGCGATTGAACTCGAAGCTGACGACTGACAAGCGAGACTTAGCGCGTGCGCTGGACGAGCAACGGCAGCTCGTTACAGGGGCTGATTTCCAGCGTGTGACCTCGCACATGCGCGAATTCTCACGCGTAAATGACCATCTATTGGCGCTGGAACGATGGCTACATAGCGAGTTCGGACAGATCAAGCGAGTTTTCCAAGCACTGGCAGGAGATGTGGATTCACGGTTCCAGTGTGTGCTAGTAGAAATTGCCAATGGGCTCAAGATGTGGCACGCAGCACAGACACGACAGGAAGAAGATGTGGGAGTGAGACTGCACGATCTCGAGGAGGCTGTGCGAGCTGTAGCCGTTGCCATGCAACGCAAGCTGCGTACACTGGAGGAAGTGATACCATTGGAAGTGCAAGCTCGACAGAAGAATGAAGACAAGCTGCGAAGACGTGTGGAAGGTGTTGTAAAGGCTTTGGGCCATGCAATCGAGACTAGCAGAGGGGAGTATTTGCCACAGCTTGCACAACGTGTGCACCAACTGGAGCTGAACCAGCGCAACTCTTTAGACGAGATCCAATCTGTGCTCGTCCAACGCATGTATCAACTAGAGGTTGTTCAGCAAAATACTTTAGACGAGGTCAGTATGCAGCATAATGCGATGAGAGAGACGATCCAAGCGTTCATGGAGGACTCGGACGCGATGCTGGTCAGGTTGGCCGTTGCTGTTGAACAAGAGCGAGTTAAGGGGATACAACTTGCTACAGCGCGAGAGGCGTCATCTCTGGATATTCCCAGCCAATTTGCCGCTGAAACGGGACTCATTAGAGAAGAACTAAGCGCTCTTCAAGTTCGGACAACGATACATGAACAGGAGTGTCGTCAGTCAACACAAGTTGCACCGGTGGTCGTACCTGCTGTACCAGTGGAAACTTATTCGAATGAGGACATGAGAATGGAAAGTAAACGAGTCAAGGAAGAGATAAAAGCTCTACAAACTTGGGCAGCAAAGCATGCACAGGAGTGTTTTCAATCCCCACTATCATTATCTGGAGTAGCGGCGTCTGTTGTTGGAGAAGTGGCGACTAAAAGCATCAAGGAAGAGATTGACGAACTACAGGCTTGGACGGTGATGCACGCACAGGAATGTCGTCAATTCTTCGACTTCCTTCACTGGTCGATGGATGATATTCGTCGCGATAGCGCAGTGGTACAATGCTTGGACACTGTAATCGACCAAATTGTGGAGACGCAGGCTTGCGAACACTTGAACGCCCTGGCAAAGGATATTAATGGGACAATAAGGCAGATCGGAGCGAGTTGGCCTGCATCAACTGCGTCATTATTGACGGCTACACCTCCAAAATGCAAGGCAAAGCGTGGCCGACCAAATCGTGTGCAATATTCAGTGCAATTACCAGGTCAGGGAAACACTCAGTCAGTTGAAAAGAAGGCAGAGAGTCCACACAGTGAGGGTGCCTCGGACATGCTGGACTTGTCGATGACGACGTATTACGCCTCGGATATTGATATCCATGGTGTGCAAATGGACCAAACAACTGAGAAAGAAGAGAACAAAGTGGTTTCGAGTGCAATCGACAATCCGATGGAAAGTGGCGAACAGGAAGAGCACCCTACAGCGTGCGTCAATGACGAGGGAGAGGATGAATACAGCATGGACACGACACAAGACGAAGAGAATACAGTCAATCACGCTGTTGTCACTCGCTCCAGCCTTGTTGAGCGCCCACAAACCGAAGCCGCGGAGTCTCAAAGCGATTTGCACGACGCTCTTCAACCAAGTGCGGGGTCACATCCCAGGGCAGAGGAGTCATTGACACTGGATCTGTAACATTGCAGCATGACGGAAGGAAATACTCATAAGGCGCATATCTTAAAATTCCTATGGGATCTGCCCTGAAGTGGTGCGTCGCATGGTCTTGACGTTCACCTCTGCGGGCTGCTGTACCGAACAAGACGCCACTACCGTCGAGTCACGTCCTGATGTTGCCTGGAACTGGTCCTGCGGCGGCGTGATAGGGACGTACCAGCCCCACTGCGGACTTTCTGTCTGCTGTGTGTCTGCGTCCGAGTCATTCACAGCTGCCGCCCCCACCGTCGCGTCCAGCTGCTGCTGCGTCACGCTCTTGCGCAATCCGCCCGTGAGCGCTCTGTGCTGTTGGAAGGCGCCCTCGCAGCTCTCGGCCACGTCGTCACGCGCTTCGTCGTCGCTGTCGCTCTCCTCCATTCGTCTGTCTCGCCTACTACGCGGCGGTGAATCGTCCTCGAATACCTGAGTGAGACTGCCGCCGTGCTCGTCGCACCAGCTTACGGCGGCCGACAATTTGCCGTCGCTGGCCGCCCCTGACGAGCCTTTGCGGGATAATGACGGCGAACCTTTGCGGCGGATGGGCTGCGGTCTCCTATGCCTAGTGGCGGTGGTAGTGTCTGTGTCTGGGGTGTCATTTACGTGCTCCACCTCTGCCTCGGCCAGCTCCAGTGCGTTGAGATACGTGATGACGGACACAGCGGTGGCAGCAGCGGCAGCCAGCACCGGATGATCCTTGAACCACTGCACCCCGCTCGAGAGCTCCTTGGCCGTAGGGAAGAAGGAGTGTTGCAGCGCGTGCGGCATAAGGCCAAGAGTGATGGTGTGCGCAAAAGAGGAGAAATGCGAATGACCGACCACTGGTTAAACGAAAGGGCGAGTGGGACAATAGTGAAAGCAAGAGAAACCGAGAAGCCACTTCAACTTGGGGTAAGGCAAACTGCAGTTGTGACTACTGGGGAGTCTTTTTCACTTTGAAGTATGAAGTTTCGATCGATGTTGCGACTGTTAAAAAATGTACGTTCCTTGGATCTCCATCCGTTCGCTGATCACGAAGGTGGAGTAGGTTGATTGCTGCATCTTGTGCTCTACGGACAGTGTTCGTGTTCGTAGAGCTCGTCGAACAATGGCACTTCAGACCGATTCCATCCGAAGCTTGCCCAGCACATATTTTACCAGGTAGTCATGGAGACAACAGAGGGCGTTAAAACTGGCCGGCATGGTTTATTACCGGTATCTCACCGGTCGGATGTGCTGGTATCGCTTTTCGCAGGGAACACTGTTGAAAGAGACCAGCAGCCAGCCGCCAGAGAGAGAGAGAGAAAGAGCGCCAAAGCGAGCGACACTAAAGTCCCCTGACCTACCCATCTGCGGTACGTGCATTTGTCCTCCCCCCCCCTCCCGTTTACCGCCACCCTGACCACTCGCCCCCCTCATCTCCAGACCATGGCCGACTACGAAGAGGAACCTGATTGCTGCCCTCTGTGTATGGAGGAGCTGGACATCACGGACCAGACGTTCAACGCTTGTCCGTGTGGCTACCAGGTGTGTCTCTGGTGTTGGCATCAGATCAAGAACGAGTACAACGGCCTGTGCCCCGCTTGTCGCCAGCCCTACGCTGAGCTCTCCAAGCAGAAGAACCCGCTGGACCGCGAAGAGTGCGTCGTTCTACCTAAATTCTACTTCATCCTACCGTTAATTCACTAACTGGTGGCTACTGTGACCGACAGAGTGGTACGCCGCACTAAGCAGCGTAAGCAAAAGGAGAAGAACGAGCGGCGTTCAGCAGCGCAGGCCAAACAGGCTACTGTGAACCGCAAGAGTCTCCAGAACGTGCGGGTTATGCAGCGTAACCTGGTTTACGTTATCGGGCTACCCGTGCACTTCGCCGAAGAGGACATTCTACGCTCTAACGAGTGCTTCGGCCAGTACGGGAAGATCGTTAAGGCTGTGGTGAACAAGAGTCACTTGAATACGGACAGAGCCAACGCCACGGCCAGCGCCTACATCACGTTCGCCAATAAGGAGGACGCTCTGTGCTGTATTGTGGCAATAGACGGATACTATCTGGACGGCAGTTTACTACGGTACGCTCTACAATACTTTTTGACAGCAATTGTGGAGTCTGACAGGGTAGAACGCTGCGTTTTTGTATCGGTAGAGCGTCGTTCGGAACCACCAAGTACTGCAATTTCTTTCTGCGTAATATGCAGTGTAACAATCCTGATTGTTTGTACTTACACGAACTGGGAGACGAGGACGATAGCTTCACGAAGGAGGAGATGCAGTCTGGTAGGAGACGATCAGTTTTTACAGGTGAAGAAGCCAAAGCTGACCGAGTGTGGATGTGTTGACTGTAGCTTTACATTCTGGGAAGGCGTTCCGGGATATGTCGATGGCAAATGGACAGATACAAGAGCGAGAAGGCTCACGGTTTCCGCCGCCACATAGACCTCATGCACCGACCAGAACTGCCTCGGCAGCGAATGTTAGAGCTCCGTCTCCAGCACGAGGGACGACACTGGTCAGATCACACAGCGAAGACACACAACGACATGCACAGAGCGCAGCGGCGATATCGAAACTCAGACAGGCCGCAGGGGACAGCAGCAATAGTTCAGGGTCTTCGTCTCCGGATCGTATTGACAGAACAGCACACAACACAGAATACCCCCCACTGTCGAGGGGACATTCGTATAGCAATATCGTAGCAGGTGGACACAGCAGTAGCAGTTATGCAGCGTCAGCTCCAGCATCAGCGTCAGTTCCAGTTGATCCTGTACCAAACAAGAAGCCAGACTTACGGGTAGATACATCACGAGAAGAAGACAAGAAACAAGCAGTGGAAACGGTGGTAGGTCCATTAGAAGCTCTGAAATTGGCGACAGGGTCATCGACAGAGCAGCCGGCATGGGCACAACCGTTCCCGACGCCCGTAGTATCCCAGAACGAGAGTGAAGAGACGAATACTGGAGACAGCAGTGCAGGCGTTTACAGTCCATTTGGACTTGGATTCGACGGCGGCATCCGACGTGCTAGCAGTGCGAAAGAACTCACGTCAAAGACCCCAGTATCTGGCGATGTGTGGGGATCGTCGACCACAACTAACACTACGCTCGACTCGTTCCCGTCTGCTGCTCCAGCGATGTCTGCGTCTGCAAGTTCCTCGTCGTCATTTGCATCGATCGATGCGATTTTCAGTCAGCATAACGACTCGTCCGAGGCACTTGCAGGCCTGCTAGGTGTCCAGTTATCTTCCAACCCGTTGGCACAACCGCTAGCTGCGCCGACTAAGGATGGACATACCTCTCGTTTTTCATTCGCAAACCCTGCAGATTCTGGCCGTATGCAGACGACGGCCCACTACGAATTACTGGACGGAACGACAGTGAATAACAGGAGCTCATTCGGTGGATTTGACGCTCCACGTTCTGGAAATGCTTCGACTTCTTCAGGATTCCCAGCGACGGACAGGTCCGGGTTCCCACCACTTGGAAGCTCTCAGCACCACATGCCACCGCCGCATCCTTCCAGAAGTTCGTTCAGTAGTGACTTCCGCAGCAACGACCTGCCTCTCGGTGGTAGCAGCGCTCTAGGTGGCGAGTCTGGCGGCCTGGCGTTCCTTCAGCAGATGCTACCGAATGTGAACATCAGCTTTGGAGGGAACTACCCTAGTTTATCTGGATCGGAACCGAGCGGAGTGGACGCCACGACTATACCTACTCGCAGTGCGAGTACTGGGCGTGGGCGTAACACTGGTCGTCGGCTTTTCGAGCGCAGCCAGAGCGCTGGTGGTGGATTGGTCTCGCCTGATTCGTGGGACGGTGGAAGTCTGAGCTCGCTGGGGTTCGACGGACAGTCCAGCGCTCGACGAGCATCCAGTGGGTCGTCGTTTTATGATCCGGCCTTGGTTCCGCAGTCGTCCAGTGGACTCTCTAGCAACGTTTACGGCTTTAATTCCGCAGGTTCGATGACCCAGAATGACGGCGATTTCGGTGGCGATGCATACCGCCGCTCAGGCTCGTTGGTCAACAACAGTTAGAACAGAGGAAAGATTTCCTTATTCAGTGATTTATTTTGACCAAGACAAAGCACATGGAAGTCCTGAGCGCAGCTTATTACACACAGTTGGAAGGCGAATGGAGGACGAAAAGAACGAACAATGAAGTTACGAGTCCCGTGCCGGAAGACAAATAACACAACACACAAGAGAACATACTAGCTCATATGAACTGACGCAGAAACTGAAGAAAAAGTAAAAAGGAGAGCGCAGATTTCTCTGAAAGAGCGACCGTGGTGAAGGAGCTATCAAGACGCCACACAACACACATACATGGCAAACAGCTATTGGGCTAGCAGTATTTTCAGCAGATTTTGCCTTCGTCCTGATATGTCCGAACACAAACACGGGTCGCTTTTTGTCCCTTGAAAAGTCCGCGTTCTTATGTTTTGTTGGTTTGTCTGCTTTAGTTAGCGACGTTTCAAGGGCCGAAATGGATAGTCGCCGAGTGCTACTAAACAGGTTGAGTGCATTGCTTAGTCCAAGATGTGAAGGCTAACACCTCTTTTTCTTCTTCTCAGACGATGTGCTTCGACCGCGACGAAGCCAGTGACAATGTGGATGTCAAATTTGCGACTGGCCCTCTAGATAACGACAACCCTGAGAGCGAAGTCGATCCAATGGAGCAATTACACTACGATATCGGTGAAGCAACAGAAGCCTTGAGTGACGAAGAGACTGGGGAAAAGTATGGCCCACCGGATCACGAAGCAAACAGTGGCAATGACATTTCGATCTATGAGCTTGGGTCTGAGCCGCCAGATGACGTCAAAGAACTGCAAACTAGCAGGGGGTTCGTGGCTGCGTGGATTCTTTCAAGCTTTCCCGATATCACAAGTGAAGCGGAGCTGAAGTCACAAGCCGAGCAAGCAGACTACAACGCGCCGTGTGATTCCGAACGATGTCTGTGCGAAGAGTGCAGCACCTTCGCCGCTGTCTTCGTTTGCCAAGACTGCGGTCTCGCCCTCTGTTTCCGATGCACGGACGCTATCCATATCGTGAGTAGTGTTCGTTTTCAAGCACTTTTACGTGCAATTTCATTGTACCATCACTAACAGGTAACTCTTTTTAACGATCATAGATCCCGTCGCTCTCGGCACACCACATTCGTTTTGGTCGATCCAGCAATACCAACCAAGCGCATGATTCTCAGCATGAAACCCGCTTCGAAGTTGAAGCCGCAGTGGTATCTTCAACTCCAAAAGCTCTCACAACGAAGACAGTACCACAACTACCAGAGTGTCGGTTGTCCCTCCCTGCCGGGACGCACATTTTCTTTCGAGCTCCGGATTGCTCACGTTGGTCACGCGAATTACTTCATGGAACTCTCATAAGTCGGGAACCTGCCACGACCTCAAGTGATGGAACATTTTATCATCGCGTGCTCTGGTTACGAGGCGTGGAAGCCTTACCCAACGGCTTCTTCCGTGCAGCTCTGACACTCCCCGGTTGGGACACTAGCAGCGAAAATGAAGTCAACATTGGAGAGACCTTTTGGCACCACGAGATTGGAGTATTCTCAACGCATCTTGGTGCGTTGCGTGCTGTCATTACAGCGGAGCAGATCGCGCGTGGTAAATACCGACGCGAACTGGAAGGAGGACGTATACACCGCCATATCAAGCTAGATAATAGCGATGAAGATCAACAGGAAGCGTTCCCGTCTTCCAAAGTATTAGATGAAATTATTGTGGAGACTTCAGCGACGCTTGGCAGTGAGTTTAAGGTACGGCTTACGCGTCAGGATGATAGGAAATTCCATCAAGAACTTGCTCAAGGCGCATGGAACTTCCGCAATTGGATGAGTACCATCGGACGTGCTGGTAATTTACGCGAAGAAGACGCTGTACCATTTGAACTTGGGGTAGCTAGTCGCGAAGAAGACGCATACAATGAGGAGCTGGAGAAACCAATACCTACACCCTGGTCTCCTGCTACTCGCATTCGCTACTTCATGATAGCTCAGCACGACTTGGTGTTCCCCGAGCGCGTGTGTCGACAGCATCTTCGTGCGATTCTGGAGCAATTACTGTTTGTGTATGCGGGTTTTGCTTGGCGAATGTGGCATGAATACGTGGAGCGGCATCGTGAACGAGAAGAGCAGCAGAATCGCGAACACGCTGCTTGTGTATTACAAGCGTGGGCTCGACGGATGGCCGAGAGAGAGCGCCAAAAGGAACGCCAGCTCCTCTTAAACATGGCATTAGGGTCTTCAATTGATGCACTGGAACTCTATCGACGTCGACAGATCGAAGCAACGAAGCTGTATGTCTTCCTCACTCGGCAGATGGACGAACGGAAGCGCAATGCATTGAGACGATGGCGAGAAGTTGTAGGGCCTAGTAATCCACCGCCGTCACCAGCTATAACGTGGCATCCAAGTCACGGAATGAAGGCCATGCTGCCTAAACTACCGCGTATGGGAGCTCGACGACGTACTGTTCAAGACAAATCGGTTGCACCTGGAACCCAAGTGATCATCGAAGACATGGCGGCGTACAAATTATTCAAAGCTAATCATGCTGGTCCAGCGGATACATCATATTGGGTCATTCGAACACGGATACTTGCCGGGGCGTGTCCTGTTGGCCCTTCCTTTCGCGAGGCACGAAGGCTGGTGTCACGTACGGACTTCGCTACAAGCGTTCTGCTGCAACAGATCAGTGTGTTTGTGTGTCTATTGGAACCCGAGGAACTGCAGAGTGTGGAGAAGGAGACTGACTGGAGTTATGAACGTCAAGTTCACATCAAGTATCAAGCGCTATGTACGGAGTTGAAAGGCTCCGAGACAGTCAGCAAACGCCATGTTGCACTGGCACAACAAGCGCTGATCGAATTCGATGCTGACGTCGGTAGTGCCTCGGTGGGGGGCTCTGGAACTAGGGACAATAGGATGAGAAGAGCATCGCTGTCAGTCAAACAACGACAAGAAGAGGATGATGCTGAGGAAGCTAAGACGAAAGAGGCTCGTGAAGCGCTGGAACAAAAGCTTCAACTGGCTGGACAACAAGCAGTCAAAGCTTCACAAGAGCTAGCGCGGTTGGGTATGATGCAGCTTGATTTCTTGTATTTCCCTATCGAACATAACGGTGTTCCAGACAGCGACAAGTTGATCGCATTCCTCGAGCAACTCGAGTCTAGACTTCGTGATGGTAAGAACCTGTACATCTTCAGTCGTCTAGGTCACGGTCGAACGGGGATCGTGTCGGCGTTGCTCCTTGGTCGTGTGTATGGGATAACAGCATCGGAGGCTCTGGAACGAGCCCAGGGGGTCCACGACTGTCAACGTCCAGGAGCACCTCGAGGCTTGAGCTTCTGTTCTCCAACTACTGCACCTCAATTAGCGTTTGTACGACGAACTCTAGCACGCTCGACGGGTCCTATCTACGTTCCTTTAGTGCTTGAGAACTCAGCTGACGGCTTCCGTTCAACGCGAGTGCAGCAACGAGGGTTGTTAGCAGAGCCCTATATGAGAGACGAAGGGTTCATGATCAGCGCTGTTGGTGACACTAAAGCACGGGAACGTGAATCATTGGAGCTGAAGCGGTTAGAACGTATAGCACGACGTGAAAGTACAGCTGCGGGGTTGCAGCGTGAGCGACGCAAACAGAAGAATGAACACGACAGCATGGAGATTGAAGAACGTGATCAAGCCGCTCGAGAGGTGATGGAAAATATTTACAAGAACATGGAGGGCTGAGTAGCGGTTCATTATTAAGGGTTTATACTATGCAGCGAAGTTTTACCGACCGTTGGGCTTACATGACGCTGCACTTGGCACCGCACGCTGGTTCGAGATTCTCCACTTCGGCTTCAGCCTTGAGCTTGGCTACGTCCTCCTCCTTCATCATCTTGGGCGATGCTGGTGCATTAGATGGCGTAGCTGTCGCCTTCGGAGTGGTCTTGGGCGACGCTGCTGCCTTCGGAGACACCACCACGGGTGCAGGTGCAGGACCGTTGATCGCCGGCGTAGGGGGAAAGGTTGACGCATCCGCCACTACGGTCTTTGGCCCACTCTGCGCTGCCTTAGTCGTGGTCGCAGTCTTTGTTGGTTCAGGCTTCGCCTCTGGTGTCTTTGCAGTCTCAACCTTCGGCTCTGCTTTGACAGGCTCGCTCTTCGTGGATTCAACTTTCACAGGCTCAGTCTTGGCCACCTCAGTCTTAACCGGTGACGCAGCAGGAGCTGTCTTCACCGGTGATGGAGCAGGAGATGCTTTGGCCTTCGCCTCCACGGCACCAGGTTTTGGTGGAGAGGCAGGAGTGGCCTTGACTTCTGTAGGCTTTAAGGTGACGGCAGGTGCCGCTTTTGAAGCCTCGTGGGTGGACGTAGGAGCGCTACTAGTCGACACAGTCGCCTCTGTCTCGTGGTCTTCGTCATCCTTCACGGCTGGAAGACGTGCAGCCACAGCAGCAGCATCGACTGGACCTGGACTCGCCAGTCCATTTGTCATGGAGCTACTGCGAGGACTCGTAGGGTTTGAACCGAAGCCTGCGATGCTGCTGGAACGACTCATAGCGTCAACATCGGAGAACTCGCTGCTGTCGATACGATCAGCACGACCAAGCTGGTCCACCTTTGATGGACTGAGCGCCTCCATGCTGCCCCGACGTGCCTGTGGGTTCTTGATGTACTTGGTTGTCTCGGTCTTGGCCTTACCGCCACCATCGACGGAAAGCTGGAAGGTGAAGGTGAGACTCGTACCCTTAGCACCGCAGGTGACGATACCACCGGGTGTGTCGCTCTTGGGCTTGGCGACGTGAGTCAGCAGTTGGTTGTGCGTCTTGCGGACACGGTTCGAGTCCACAACTCGGAGGTTGAGTCCATCGTCACCGTAGCGGAGACTAGTCGCGTTCGTGCAGCCTTCCTTCTCCACTTGAATGTACATCTCACCCTTGGTAGCCGAGAGCTGCAGACTGACGCCTTCACGCTGACCCACCACCTTGTTGTTCAGCGAGTACGTGCTACCATCCTTTCCGTCTGAAGTACGGAGCACGAAAGGGGTCTGATAGGTCAGCGGAGTGCCGTTTGCTTGCTGCTTGTCACCACGAATTGGGGCACTGAGGTTCCAAACAAACCAAAACGTGAGTAAAGCACGAATAGTGGGAATAGTATCGTATTAAAATTGTGACGTACACGATGAATTCGGCTTCTACGAAGCGTTCCTTGACTTCATCCTTCACAGGGGGTACCACGAGCAACTGGGTCTGCGCTTTACCAGGCAATTCGAGGAAACCCAGGAAGGTCGGAGTGCTCTCGACAAACGCTGACTTGGTCTGCAGCTTTACCACATCTCCGAACCGAATGGTCTCGTTCACGTTGCTCATAGTTTGTGAAAGTCTGTGGATGAGTCGAAAGGCGAAGGCCTGGGGCTGTGGCCGAGCGCTGGGAAGTTTGGGAATGAGAAGGTAACACCTCCCAGGCCGTTGATGCTGAGGAATGCGAAAAACAAAACAACTATTGTTGGGCTGCTATCAATAGTGATGCAGTCTCCCTCCTTGTGGCGCATTTGACCAGAATAGCTCGCTTGGATGTGAACGTCGTCAGGTCTCAGGAATTGCTTGTATTTTTAGTCGCCGCCTCAATATATATACCTAAGTTATCATGATATACTAAAGTACCATCATGAATTCTTGGATACATATTGTTTTTTGTTTCGGGTCGATGATACACGAGAGCAAACTCATGCGTACCTAACGACCTCGGAGTAGGCATCTCCGGGCACTTGGGTCGGAACCCAAGTGAGTAGTTCTTCATTCTTGAGAAAGATATTTCGCGCTGCGTTCACGTCGCGGTCGATCACAAGTTCACAATGGTTGCACTCGAATACTTTCTGACTCGTAATGCTGTAGTTGATTCTCCCACAGCACCAACACGTTTTCGTAGTGTAATGCTCTTCACACTCTACCATTCTTCCTCCACTGCGCTCCATCTTATACGCAAGCATCATCTTGAACTTGTAGTGAGACCATGTGAGCATAGCTCGAGATGTCTTTCTTGAGATGCGCTTTTGCTTGGAAGTCATATCCGACGTCTGGAATGAAGGAAGAAGAACTTGTTTAAAGTTCGTCGATAGCCAGCCGGAAACTTTATGATGCATGTCAGCAATCATAGCTTTCACTCGATTGAAGCACTTGGTCAAGCGCTTTTGCATACGGTAGCATTTGCGCTTGTTAGTCTCCTTAGTATGTCTTGAGATCAAACGATCGATCGTGAGACATCTTCGAAATATATACTCGTTGGCATCATCTACGCCCAATGTTAGACCGTCGGGGTCATACATGGTGATGAAACTACGTACTCCTGGATCAATAGCACACGTTCGAGTAGAAGTCGTCTTCTCAAAGATCTTGGAGCGTGGAATACAGAGATAGAATTTCTCATCTCTAGTTCGCTGGAGACGAACGGAGAACTGAAGCTCTGGCATCTTCTCCTTGATCAAATATCCTTCATTCTTAGAGAATCCGAAGTATCTGGGCGTAAACTTTACGATCCCATCCATTGACTTGAAACCTCTAGCTCGAAATTCAATCGAAGAGGAGTTATCTTTCTTTGAATTGAACCGAAGATCTAGAAAAGAAGTTTTCTTGTCTTTCTTCTTGAGAGCTTTGAATAACGCTCTGGATAACTTCAAAGCTTTAGCGAAATCGCGATAAGTAGAATACATAACTTCTTCTGGTACTTCGAGATGGTATTCCGGAAGGTAGTTCATCATCGAGTGCTTCTGAGAGATCGGACGATACTGCTGCGAAAGCTCGGAAAGCTTGAGCTTGTAACAATCCTCCCTTGAACTTTCTACAAGCTTGTTGTAGACGGCTCGATGCGTTCCGAACATCTTATTAAGAAGAATCTTCTGAGGCTTTGTGGGATAAAGTCTGATCTTGATCACGCTATTAGGAGTCTCGCCGGGATTACTTGCTTCAGAAGATGACGGAGAGCTTGGTCTAGATTCCTTCTCAATCACGATATTGAGTTGGAACCATGACTTCTGCTTGATCCCTTTCATTCGCGCACGAGAACGATCGGCCTGAGCTAATGGAAGACATGTTTCGCCCGCCCGTCGACCGACAGACGCTTTCCACCAATCCGGTCTTTCTCCCATGGAGAAAAATTCAAGAATGAGTGAAGAGCGTTCTATATATAGGCTTCTCGTACAGTCAATGGGACACCTTTTCTATCCGAGAACGATACGAGCTATTACGTGTTCGGTAGCGACTTCCGTACGTCCTCGGCCGAGAGAAAGCATTGATATCCGTGTAGCGACTCTAGCGTCGTCCGGTGCTAAGCTTAATGCGTGCTGGAAATGTGTCAGCGCTTCGGACGTCCGGCCTAGCTGTTCGTACACCCTGGCAATGTTCCGGTGAAGACTTGGGTCGTGTAGATTGAGAATTCAATTTGAGATCAATGACATGCTTGATAGTACGGGCGCTTTATGCTTCGCATGACTACATTGTCTTTACTGCCGATTGCATTCTGTTACTCACTTCCCTTCGCCTTAACATGGAGGTATCTCGTCGACTGACGTTTTTACATATTTTTTTTATTGTTCTACCCGCTCCATAATTGTCGTTGAGAAGAGAAAACGATAAATTGGGGACTGCAACTCGAAATCTGGCAGTCGATACAATAACATATACCACATTCAATTATCGTTGTCGAATGCTTTTTAGTCGCCGGCGGCTAAACTGGCATCATGACCCTCTGAATTACTACGCAGGTGTAGTTTAATTTTCGAGCATATTGATATTAGAAATATCACGGTGCACATAGTCACTCGTTGGTCAATTTGGAGGAGTGATCACGTGGATCGCATAAGCCTTATCGTATTCTACACCTTTAGAGTATTGAAACTAGCACTCGGATAGAAAAATAAATAGAAGTGAAAGAGGCCTCCCTCAACGTGGAGCGTGTCAGCTTGTTGACAAATCGGTATGGAGCAAAAATACGGACTTCGGACGAGCCGATTTCTTGGACTGAGGGTGAGCCGACTTCCAGCACTTGGAGTAAACTTCCATAGGAGCAAGCTCATGTCATGGCTTAGCTCACCTTGCGCCTTCAAATTGATCTTGGTCGAAATGCAAGCTTGACAGCCATGCCTTTTGAAGTAACTCCCGTTTCGTCACTTTCTTGAACAGCCGATGGTTAGTTCTCCAGAGGCAAGGGAAAAGATCAATCTGCATCGATTTCTTGGATTACGCCCTGTTGCAGTTTACATTGCAGTTAGCTTTTCGAGTGCCGTTGAGTATTGCAATCCGCGGGGATCATGCAATTGGGCATTGCATTTTAGAATGGCAATACTTCACTTCAACGTTACTTCCCATGTCAAGCTTGCCTCCCTCTACTTAGAGATCTTTCTTCAAGGTCTTTTCGCTTCCTAACACGGCTAAATAGAGCAGCCGAAGCGTTGGCGGAGCAGTTGCGGTATAGCACCTCGCAGCATTTGCTCCAACTCACGCTCTCTACTTCATTAAGTACTATGTAGTAGTATTTGTAGTGTACGTGGACAGCCTTGAGGTACTGCTGGGATTATCTTCACCCCTGGATGAAAAGTCCTACACGGCTCAGTCCTACCGAGCCTGCAACGCACACCGCAATCGTGGTCAGGAGAAAATGAGACTCTGACGCATGATGCTTGAGAGCACTAGAGTGGTAGACAGCAATATGTGGAGTGAGCCATTGTCATTCCTCTCGAAATCCCGATTGTGATTTTATATTTTTGTGAATTCTTAAGGTATTTGAGCTCCTCGCTGCCACCTCCAGCCACGCACTAGGCTGACAAGATAAGAAGTCCTTGATTATTTCAGCCGGTATTAGCTTTTGTGAATACTTCATTTGGTTATGCAAAAAAATATTCAATACTTAAGCACATCTACATGATCGGAAAGAGCAGAATTTTGTTTACATGGCAGGAGTTCGTGTTAATATCAGATCGCCATCTTTTTTATTAGAGTTTCTTTTTTTTCATTTAAAAATATAGGCCGTTTCATCAGTGGCACACTCCTCTCGGAACACAAAGAAAAAAGAAAAATGTAAAGGACCCGAACTTCTCCGGCTGCCATACAAAGAAATCGACGATCGCTTGAGGCTGTCCAAGCCATTTCGCATACCGGTCCGTTAATGAATTAACCGTTCACTAAACCTGCGATAACTTTCGTTCTACTACCTCAATGTACTTGGAATGAGCTTCATTGTAAAGATCTATATTCGCAATAGCACGTAGTAGTTTTCTTAAATGCATGTCTCCGCCATAAATGCCATTACCCCACCATTTAAACTATCAATTTACGGAGGGCTGGGTTTCTGTTTTTGCAGTGTCCAGTATCAAACGATTTTTTTTTTTGGAGAAACCAGGAATCCAGCGATGGATAACTGGAAGCAATTCAGCTTACACTGAATATGTATGAACTGACTGTTGGGGGAATGTTGTACTGACGGGCTATCACTAACGTGCTAGGCGCATATGCGAACTCTCACGGCACAGCACACTTTGCCAGAATGTGGAGTTGACGTTTCGCTTTGAGACGAACTCACTTGCCGAGCGAAAAACAAAACGGCGGCAAGCGGAAAGCATGAGCGTCTCGCGAACAGAAAAAAGAAAGGTGTCCGATCGAAGCGTTACTCCTGACAACTGCGTCGCTTTGTTTAATACTTGTTCGTTCAATTGGTGGCGAGTTACTGTACCCACCAAGCCGGCAGTGCCAAAGCAGTAACAACTAGACCATCGTGGTTTACTATCGAGAGACTCAGCAACAAGTAAATGAAGAAAACCAGCAGGTATTAATAGTTTTCAGGTGATACGTGCTCTTTCTTGGTAATTTTTTTTAGCGTTTCTGACGCAACTTTGGTTTTTTTTTCCAGATTGTATTTATTGCGCAAGGGGCCATCGAACCCAATGGAGCAAATATTGAATCCCAAGACATGATGAGTCTGTCCTGATGCATAGACATATCTCCAAAGATATTATTTTACCGGTGGCGGAACAGACACCTGCTTCGCGACTGCCTATTATCGTTACTGTTGTTGTGGTGGTGGTGGTGGTGGGGTGACCTGACGCGTTTGTCTTCGACGATGTAAATTGCTGGTCTTCTGAACAAGCGAGTTTTTTTTCTGCTGACATATTTCACCGTCGTTCCCTGTATTTTAGAGTTTACCAGCTCACAGCTGGACAACAGTGGTCAACCAGTAAAAAGAGTAAAAAGAGGCTACGTGAATAAAAATATATATTCCCAGCTACGAACAAGTTACAATCAGCATTAAACACCGCAGGTGAATTGAGTAGTATGGATATTCATTTTCTCTTTTTTCATCTTATGCCACTCGCAAAGCTAAAACTAAAATGGCGAGTCTGCCGGCAGGAGATAACAGCTCAGGACCATGCCACCTCTTACCAGCTCGCTCGTCTTGCTCTTCCCTTTTCTTCTTACACAACACACACCGACACGGCTCTCTCGCTCGTGTCGCCTCCCTTACCCACTCTGCAATGGGGTTTTCCAACGAAGCTGCTGCACATTCGCGCTACTCCCTCGACTTTACAGCTTTCCCCCATTGCAGGTTCGCTCTTGCTCTTGACTTCTGTCGTGGGAACGGGTAGTCGTCTAACAATCTCGCAGTCTCCTCTCTTCGATTAGTTCAAGTGCTCGTTGCCGGGCATGTAGGTGAAACCATCAAAGTGAGCCTGTGCACGATGCGTCGCTCCTAGTTCCTGCGTCACGGGCGAGTCACGGGCCATCTCGCGCGTAAAGATGTTGGCAACGTTGCCCGTATCGGCCTCACTGTTCACCACAGGCTTAAACGGCGGCTCCACCTCACGTTTCAGCAGCTTGTCGAAATCGATGCTAGCGAAGAACGGGTGGTCCATAATTTCCTGCACGCCCGACGGGCCTGAGCCTAATCGCTTGGCCGGGTCTCGGCGCAGTAGACCAGTCAGCAGATCCTTGGCGTCTTCCGAGAAAGCCTGGGTGAATACGACGTCCCGGTGCAGAATATTGTGGAACATACGCTTCCGGTTACGGTCGAAGAACGGCGTCTGTCCAGTCATCATTTCATACAGCAAAGTACCGAAGCCCCACCAGTCCACAGCCTTACCGTACGGCAGACCCTTAAGCAGTTCGGGCGCAATGTACTCGGCCGTACCACAGAAGGTCTTGGCGCCATCAGGCACGTCCACATTCTCCTTCGACAGACCGAAGTCCGTCAGTGCGATGAATCCCTTGTCGTCCATCAAAATATTCTCCAGCTTCAAGTCACGGTACGCGATGTTAAGCTCGTGCAAGTGCGACATCGACATGAGCAACTGCGCCGCGTAGAAGCGAGCGCGTTTCTCCGAGAACTTGCGCGATTTACGCAAATGGAAGAACAGCGACCCACCGTTGTAGTAGTCCATGACTAGGTACAACTTGTCTTCGTTCTGGAACGCATACCGCAGACGCACCACGAACGGGTGGTCGATATCACGCAAGATACGACGCTCCGACTTGGTGTGTTCCACCTGGTTCTTAGCAAACACGGACGCCTTCTTCAGCACCTTCATAGCGTAGATGGCGTTGGGGTTCGACGATCCATCGGGAACCTTCTTGCGTACCAGCATAACCTTACCGAACGCTCCCTTACCGATAACCTTGAGCAGATCGAAGTCCTCCACACTCAGCTTCGTGTTCTGCGGAGGCTGCGCGTTCGACTCGGATCGTCCCTGGTTCGACATCTGCGTGTCCGACCGGTTACGGGCTTGTGACATATCCGCAGACGAGTTGGTAGTGGCCACGGCGTCGCTGGCAGTGCGGTTAATGCGCGGGTAGCTCGGCAGTGGCTGCGTGGGGGGCTGGTTATTAGCGCGAGGGCCTTCCGTGGCGCACTCGGTACACACACGTTGAGCCGTACTGGATCCCGGCAAGAACAGTCTGTCGCGTGAGCAGGCGTTGCATACAGCACGGTGACACATGCGGCAATGGTGACGCCGGTCGAACAACGTGAAGTGGAACAGACACAAGTTGCAGTGTTTCTCGCTGTTGCCCATCTTCGAGTTGTTGGCTTCACGTCGCGTGGACTCTTGGCGTGCTAGTTGTGGGGCCGTGGGGGCGGCACCGTTGCCCATAAACGCCGGGGCCGAGGCAGGCGGCTCCGGCACAGGCTTCTCGCCAGCCACGTACGTGGTGGCATCGCGTGTGTCCAGGAACCGAAACAACGCGTCCTGGATCTTGTTGATGCAGAAGGCAGTCACGTAGTAATGGTTCGCATGGGCACGCGGCGGCCTACCAGCCGACAAACAGGTACAACCGGTACGGTGCGGTGCGTCGCCGTCCAGTTTGGTCTGGAACAGTTGATCATTGCTCTCCCAGTACATGGTACGGTGTGCTAGAATGGACTTGACGGACTGGGAGTCGCCGTCCTCAATACGGTGGCTAGACTCGATGAGTGCGATGGCACCATTGCGACGCATCAGCTGGTCGCCGCGCGACTGCAGTAGATACTTGATGAGGACACCACCGTACGAGTATCCGAGGAAATACACGCGTCGGGCCGCAGATCTCGCGACGTACGAGTCCCATAGTGAATCCATGTGTTCCTCCGGACTGGACGAGCCGGGAATTTGCAGTCGTTGCTTGCCGTCACGCATCACGATGACGTTCTTGTTAGGATTGGCCACGATGATACCGTAACCTTCGTCGATAGCTTTGCGGAAGTACTCGAGCATACTGCCACTCTTGACGCCAGCGTGGAGAACCAGGCCGCGACTCCAGAGACCCGGGTACAGGCCTCGACTGACGGCCACAAAGACCAGCAGCTTCTTGCACGTCTCGTAGTTGCGTGACACGAAGACGTTGGCTTTAACTGGTGCCTCTGGTGTGCTATTGGCCGGGATGTAGACCTCTTTGAAGCCCAGTTCCTTACGCATCGAGTCCTGCACGTACTTAACGACAGTGTTGATGATCTCGTCCTGGTGTACGGCCAGATCAGAGTCATCGAGCCCCTTGCCCGTAGCCTTGAGATGGATCATACCCTCGGCGTCCATGGCGTACAGCGGGTGTGAGAACGGCAACACCACCCCACGGTTCGCGGACGGAGCGGCAGCGCGCTGCCCAGAGTGTTGGTAATCGGCCGACGCGGGCGCTGGCGGCATCGTGCCGTTGGCTTGCCACGACTGCTGCGACTGGTAGTCCGAGCCGTTGCTGTAGGTGCGTCCGGGCGCGGACGGCGGGCCGCGCGGGACGCCACCGGCGCCGTTTGCACCGTTAGGATAGTACTTGTTGCCCCCGACGGGCTCTTTGCTTTTGCTCTTCTTTCGCCCCCATCGAGGAAACCGGAACGACATCTTTGACACTGGCAAAAAGATAGACAAGTTAGCACTAGCCTAAAAGCGACAGAGGGCGCATTCGCACTGAAGACACGATGGCGTATGACGCACCTTGAAGAGTCTGCTGACTGTTGCTAACTACGAAGAAGACACAGAGAGAGAGAGAGAGAGAGAGAGAGAGAGAGAACAGAGTCGAGTTAGCCTCTCGACTGCGACGCAGGAGTGTTTTCTCGTCTGAAAGCGGCTAAGATTGAGCCGCTGCCTCCCCCATGTGTTGCACGTACCCTGACGTTGTGGCGGCCTCTACCGCCTGGTGCTGTGGTGCAGCGAGAGAGCGAACCCTTGCCGCTGACGTAGACCAGATGTCGAAGGAGAGCTTCGAGCTGCTGCTTCCTTCTCCTGCGCGCGCCTGGTGGCGTTTGGCCAGCGCAACAATCCGAACTGGACGTCCGTCTATCCGTCGTACGCGAGGCCTCTTCCTCTTGGCTCCGGCCTTGACTCCCCCTCGCGTCGTCGTTCTGAGCGATCCCTAACCTCGGCCATATCGCGCAATTTCATTGGCGAAGACGAGAGCGATTCGACGACTGTAGCCATAAACAGGCCAGTAACGCTGACGCCTGCTTCCTGACAAAAAACCTCATCAAGAAATGGGTACTTACCCCAAATTCGGCAAAGCGACACACTTTTATGAACGTACGTGGATTATTCCTTCGAGGTGAGTGCAGCAAAATACAACCAACACGAACTAAGAAGCTTTGTAGCAGCTCGATAAATTCCTAATGACAAACCTGCCCCTTGCGACTTTGGACAAGAATGCGGTTACTTGTATTGATTTCATACATAGCCACATGTCGACCATTATCTCGGCGTTACACGTATCAAACAAACTTTCATCGATCTGCCCATAATTTCTCTCCGCAATTTTGTTGTGTCGTTTTGGTCATAATAGTCGAGCGAGAGCGATTCGCGATTTGCGAGCAGAAAGAATGGATCCACGTTGTTGAGTGGCCTTATCAAGAAGACATGACAACAAGAACTGAAAGAATCACAATGTTGAATACCGCTTCAACTTGCGATGCCGATCAACCACTACTGCTGATGTGGATCGGCAACGAACCCAGGAGCTATATGAACTTCATCAGGAAGTACAATGTCGTTTAAACAATGGTTTGCTGGACTTTCGAGAGACACTCAACTCATTTGGCTTCTGTATCGATGTTGAAACGGCGATTGGAAACTGGGCACAACGCCCTTTTATACCGCAAGCACTCATATTTCATGACCGCAAACAGCCCCGGTTGCATGAGTCGTCGGCACCAGCAAAGTGACGCAGCGGCCGCAATGTGGACGCTTCGCTGCTACATATACACGTAGCTGCGCACAGCCTGTCTACTTGCCGTTATGTTTGCCGGCACCAAGTTCGAGACTGCAGAAAATAATGGGCATCTGGCTCTTCTTCCATAGTCATAATAAAACCTCACGCGTCGTGAAGTTGTGTGGATACAAAAAATGTCGTTCGAAGCTACGACGACATTCGGACGACACCATCACCATCAGTACGAGTGTAGCCATCGTGTCACGCACAGCAGTCTGGCAAAAAGCCTAGATACTTCTCCAACCAGGATGGCTTGGCGTGGATACGCTTGCCGTTATTTCTTTCGGGCACGGTACTGAATATCCGACCACGTTGTGGCCGACACCACCACTGTGGCGCCGCTATCGCCACTTGATTGCCACTGGCAAGTTGCCATCTCTGCTCTGATCCTCCCGATCGTGCCCCAATTGAGGCAAGTTGCTCAGCTGCGCAGCCGGCAATGTTGATGGCGACGGCAGACTGGTCGCACATAAAGGACGAAGTCGAGAAGAAGATGATGCTTGGCGAGTGAGCTTAGGTTCGATCGTATTGGATGCAATCACTGACTTACGTATATTCACTTTAGTTTACCCTCCTGCGGCTCCAAGTGCTTCCTTCGACACTCGGTAGCTCTTTATCCTCGAGCCCTTCGATCGTGCTCTTCTCTTTCCTCCTATCACTATGGTACCGACGGCACTACCATTTCTTTTTTTTATCGTTGGGTATAAATCGTCAATTATGGGTAATGTTGGTCACTCACTTCTCGGACAGCACGCACAGCAGCTGCGGCACCACCTCGATGCGGAACGGGCCGGGGCCAGCAAACACCTCTCCGTCCACATTGAGTACGTCCTCCACGATCGGCTCAATCACCATCGCCTTCACCTTGTGGTAGCCCACCAGCTCCGACTTGAGGAACGTGTTGCTCAGGTAACGCACAGCGATCTCGGCTGTCTGCATGATGTTGCCCTTGCGGGAATAGATCAGGTCCAGATTGCCGTCCGATGGGTGTGCATACTTCGTCTCAAAGTACACGTTCGAGCCTCCAGCCGAGGTCAGCTCCGACGAAAAGCTCTGCCATTTGCCTGCGTACTTCTCCTCACTAGCAGGGTGGAAAATGGACTCAGCGTCACCCTTCCACTGCTTGGCAGCCGGGTCCGAGTCGTCGTAGATACTGCAGCGTTCCACGTGATGCTGGTCCTCTGCAGTGTCGTCCATGATCTCGTAGTACGTGCGCAGAATCTGCTCACCTGTGTTGGGGTCCACAGGCACATTATCCGACAGAACGTAGCTGATCTTTGCCTCGTGTTTGTGTGGCGCGAAAATGCCACGCTTGACCTTGAGGTAGAAGTATCGGTGCACGCCAAGCCATCGCGTAGCCTCCGACTCCACGGCGATGTCCGAGCCAATACCGTAACTCACACCGGTACAGGCAAACTCGAGACGAGTGGAGCCGTCCTCGTTACTGGCTTGGCACGTCATCACATCGAGCGGACGGATCTTGCGTTTGATGATGCAGTACACCGACGACGCGTGCGTGGGGGTACCCACGCCTTTGCCAAAGGCGTTGTCTGTGCCAGCACAAATGAGCGAAACGGGGGTCGTAGCGACCAGTGTGCGCCACACACTCTCCTCGCGCGAGAACACACCGTTCATGAACTCGTTGACCGTGCCGTCGCCGCCGACGAACACGATGGCTTCGTATTTCATGTCCAGGTCGAACGCCGCGCCGATATCGCGCGCATGTCCGCTGTATTGCGTCTCCTCCACGTCGCACTGGATGTTGGCGAGCTCCAGTAGCGGTCTCCAGTGCTCCCAAACTTTACGTCCGCGACGTCGACCCGAGTGTGGGTTGACCACTACCTTGATACGACGCGTCACGTTCTCCGGCACACGGGCCAGCCATTTCACAAGCGCTTGCAGGGAAGCCACCAGCTTATTGGCTGTGGCTTCGTCACTGAAACGCAGAGTGATGGTACGGTATCGACGCATGAGTCGACGGTGTTCCTTGCCTCGGCCTGGCAGCATGAAGTGCACGTCCACGCTGGTCTTGCTACCGGGCGTGAGCGACGCAGCGAGTAGATCGTCCTTGAAGATCTGGAACTCCTTGGTTTTCTTGCGGAACAGCGACACGCGCTGGCAATTGATGCCGTCGCGGTCCACCTGGACGGTCATCTTGCGCCAGACCGAGCCGATCTGCATCTCCATTTGCGCCGTCATGACGCACTGCTCGGGGAACTCGCGAAGACGGTGCGAGTGCATTTCACGCACGATCTCGCGGGCTGATGCGGCCGTGGAGAAGCGGAAGCGCACTTGACGATTCTCAATCGCCTCGATCGCGGCGTCGCGTTGTGGACAGCCGGCCCAGCTCTTAGACCGCGTGAGTCTCAGACTCGTGGGCGTCTCACCGGCCTCGCTGCTGCTGTCGTTGTCCTGCGCGGGCGCGTCTTTCCTGGGTACGAGGCCTTGCGTCGGTACAGCCACGGTCGAGGCTCGTCGGAAGTGGTTCTTGGCCGGTGATACCGGGCGGTTCGCGGCGTCCTGCAGTATTCGCTCGCGCACCTCGCGGATACGGTCGCGGTCCTCTCCTGTCAGCGCCTCGCCGTCGCTGCTGGCGGCCGTCGCATTCGATAGGCGCTTGGTCTTGACGTCGACATCGTCGTCACTGTCGTCCTGCGGCTCGTGGAACAATTGGTTCTCGTCCTCGATGGTCTTCACGGGCCCGATATGTTCGGGCTCGTCGTCCCTGGCGCTCGTAGGGAGCACCGCCATGGACGTACGTTGCTGGTTGGTAGAGAGATAGAGTTCTCTTGTTGCTGGGAAGTATGCGAATGAACGAACTTGTTTCCGCCCGGAAAATGCTGATTGCGCTCCGTCGGAAGTTGCAGTCAGCTGAAACAGCGATATAGAGACCGCATGGGTTAACATGGTGCATTCGAAATAAAGGTCATAATAAATGCTGGTTGATTTTGAAAGTGGGAGATATTTTAGATGATAGATGAAAGGTATATGCCATGCTCTAGTGAGTACTTGCGAAAAAGTGTATGTTGGCATCATCAGATGCATGGACGGAACGAAAAGGCCCATTA